GCTAATGTAACTATGTGTTACCATAGATAGGTTGGTGTGCCACGGGTGATGATTTAGCACTTTTATTTCTGGTTTACAGTGAATTTACATCCATTTAACGATGCAACACAACTACTGATAGACTTATGTATGCACAGTTTTCCCAGTCAAATATTCATACATAGAGATTTTTAAATACTCTTGAGCCTAAACATACAATATTTCGAAGAAGGAAGCCTTCAGTATCCTCCTTGGCAAATTTAACAGAGCAATTGACTCCAATATCACATCTCAAGTCAATTCGGAGCGACGCCGTCATCCTTATGATGAAGGCTATGGTTAAGGAAGTGAACCTGTTAACCCAAAGAGCCATTGTGATGAATCTGGTCATATATCCTAGTAGTGGTAACGAGATACAAACAAGACTGTTCAAGCTGATGAATTGTGGTAAGCAAAATTCCGGACTCAGCTCGGAACCAAAGGCTGTTTTTGTGACAACGATGGTCGAAGACATTGGAATCACAACAACCCCCTTCGACCACAGACAAATAACAACATTAACAGCATCCTTGTCAAGCCCTATGCTGAAGCTCTTTTAAATTTGTTTATTTTGAATCTTGATATATGGGTACATTGGTTTTAAGGCTTACGTAGTTTGTGAAGAATCTTGGTTTGTGGTATCTTGAATTAAGATATCTTAAGCACTATTTTGGTCAGTTTTCGGTGTCTCAGCTTTTTCTTTTGTTATTAATATTTGTGGAATTTTTTATTGATTATTTTTGTTGGTTGATTTTGCAGTGTTTGTTGGGTATTACTTATTTCCTGTTTGTGCCTTTGATTTGCTTAAACGTATACAATGAAGAGTTTGTTAAGATTTAAGATTGACCAAAAATTGTTATAATAGAAATCGAGGGTCGGTCAATAACAGTAATACATAATCATGGTCATCTTGTAGAAGATATCGTTCCAGTGATTTATGTTTATTTATAAGGGAAATGTCGCTTATTTTGTCTGTCGTTTATTGGGGTTATGGTAACGTGTTTCCAATCACGAACTAAGTTTTTGGTAGAGAGTCCTGAATGTGAACTTTGAAAGTCTTGCGTGTGGTTAGATGATGGGCGTGCTGACCTTCTTTTGCCGAAGCTATTCGATATGCCATACATAATCTAATTTAAAATTTGCATTACCTAAGCTTTAAGTGTTATTAAACAAATATTCATATTCTACTTCAGAAGTGGCATTGGCAGATTCCTCAGCATTCTACTGTTTAACGGTCGGGAATCACTGTGAATCAAATATATTTAGGTGTTAAACATGTTTCTCCTGGTCTCAAGGCTTGCATCTGCAGCGACATATCACTAGCATATACAAACTGTTATTTTAAAATGTAGTTAATCGTTCGTAGGGTAAGGTATTGATGCTGAATTTTATAATTAAAGCTACAACTTATAATATATTTTATTGGATACGAGTTACATTAAAACCGTGGGGTGACGTTGGGTCTGGATGGTTCAAATACCATAATGGCAACAAACGTTATTACCTGCTGAATGCTTAGTGTCAATTAATTAACTTGACAAGCTACAGAAAGTACCAATGACAATGGGCAGATAAGCACCTGAAGAGGGATTGTGAGGTTAGTGATAGAGGAAATTCCACAAAAAGGAGGAAGATATGATTGATTTAACAAGGGAGAGAAGAGGGACCCCACTAAGCTCACTGAAATACTATGATAAGGAACACATCTAATTTAATAACAGATCGGGCGGAGCCCAGTTCCACAATCTCTGTGTCATTCATTGGCCAATTCCAGGAAGACGACAATGAGTGCGTTACTGGTACAGGATGTAACTGGCAGATATGAGTGCGTTACTGGAGACAGGTACAGGATGTAACTGGCAGACATGAGTGCGTTACTGGAGACAGGTACAGGATGTAACTGGCAGACATGAGTGCGTTACTGGAGACAGGTACAGGATGTAACTGGCAGACAT